CCGGCCCGGGCTCCCCCCCCCGTTGCCGCAGCTGCCGTTCGCCTCCAGCGGCTCCATCTCCTCCGTCCTCCGGCCGGCTCAGAGCATCCCCGGGGGCAGAAGCCGGTGGGTGGCGGGACTGGGGCAGGGCCGGCCCGGGCTGACAGCGCACCTGCCCGCCCGGCTCCTCCTCCGGGACGGGGCCGGCCCGTCGCTGGGCTCGGTGCGGCGGCGGGGGATGCCGGTGCGGGGTTGGCGCGGGGCGAACCGCTTTCCCCGGCGCAAGCCTCGTGTCCCAGCCCCGGGGCTGCGAACCCAGCCTGCTCGGGGGCTGTGGGGGGAGAGGAGGAGGAGGAGGAGGAGGGTACGGTGGGGTCAACAGCCTTTGCACAGATCCTGCGTCAGCCCAGGCAGGGGTTTCTCTCCTCTGGAGTGTGTTTTTCTTACGGCCGTGGTTGGGAGAAGGCGCTGTGTACGCTGAGCGGGTTGCGTGCGCCACAAAGCTGTGGGCTTTAAACGTGCGCTGAGTACGGTGGAACAGAAATGAAAAGTAAACGAGAAATTAAGATATCTCCTCTTACTAAAAAAGACTGTAACTGCAGTTCATATAGCAAGGAAACATCTCGGAAAGCATCCTGTTGCTTCAAGCATTGGTGTTTCTTATTCTCCGCTTAGTAGTATGGCTGTGTGCAGTAGGTTGTAGGACTGAAGGATGAGGTTGCGGGGCTGAGAAACATGTAGAGGTCTAGGGAAGATGGATATATCCCAACAGAAGTTTTGCGGTGGGTGCGGCGTTCCCTGTACTCACTGAGCAAAGGCATGTTCTCTGCTGATGGTCAGGCCAAATTTCCCTAATGGACTTTCCTGACTTTTGAGTTGTACCGGGAAAGGTCAGGCTCCAGGCAAAGGTGCATTTGAGAAAGAAATATCAGCAAAAGTTGAGTGTGTAATGACAAGGGCACTCTTGTGCTGTAAAGCGTTGTGCAGAAGGAGATCAGAGATCCAGGACACAATTTCACCACTAGCAGCAGCTGTGATTTAAGATTTAGGTGCATCTGCACTGAATCCCAGCCCCGAGAAAGTCAGATCCAGCCCATGGGCTCTTCCATCACTTCAATTCATTTTACACCCTTTTATTTTGTGACTATTTGGTTGGCAGGTCTCGCTTATCATGGCCATGTGGTTCAGCCTGTACTATTGACTGGGGGCTGTAGTTCCCCCATCAACTCCCCATCCCATTGCAGCCGAAGCCTCTTTTGCTAATATTAGCATGTGAATGTTTCGGAGCATGTTGCACACCAGTGTGTTTTGCCTTCACCCCCACCCTTCTCTGCCGATGTCCTCCCTTCCTGTATTTGTGCACGGTGGCTGTGTGTACACAGAAACCTACTGCCAATACAAAAGCCCTTTCCTTGCAGCAGGAGCCATTAGCCAGATTTCACTGTAGGTCAGCAGAGATAAGGAAAACCAATAGTAAAACCAATAGCTTTTCTTCAGCAAGCCCACATTTATAGCTAGAAACGGTATCTGTCATAAGGCAATATAAAGATGCAAAATCTGCAGGATCTGAAGGTGTCTGAAAATTTGCTTTTTTTTCCTGCCCCATAAAATATATTACCTGTTACTACAGAAATTGCTCTTAGACCATCAAACTGCAGCATTGCTAGCACTGCATGGCTCCTTCACTCAGCACCTGATCCTATCTCTGTACAACTGTTTTCTCCAGCAAATGTAATGTTCAAGTGTTTTGTAAGTCATTTGATTTTAATCCAGTCTGTTCATCAGTCACAGACCTCCCGGTCACTGGCTGGAAGAGATTGTGCCAGCCAAATCCCACGTCCTCCCCTGTATCACAGGGGCACTTAATAATCAATCCAAATCGTGTGGCAATGGGTTTTGATGTCGGAAATGAAACACACTGGTTTGTCAGTGATCTGGGAGCAACTTCTGCCGCTGTTACATATTACGTAGGCAAAAGGCACCCTGGGGAAGAGAATGATGGCGAGATTTGGCCTTTATTTAGTAAATTTACTCACTAATGCCGGTTACGAGCAATTCATGCAATGTGTCAATACGAGGCTGATTGCAGAAACCAGGGTGATGGTGGAGTGGGACAAGTGTTTGCTGTGTCTGCGGTGCTGACTGCCTGCGGCTGGCTGGGGGAATTCATGTCCCCTGTCCCCTCGCAGGCTGCTCCACCTGCTTGCTCTGGTGCTTGAGGGCACTGTGGGGCTCTCCCCTTTGCTGGACCTTCTCCAACACCCCAAGGTCTTGCTCGTAGCTGGGGACTCCTCATGGTGATGTGGTTATTGGCAGTTAAACTGCATCCAAAATAATTTCCAAGCTTTTGTGGGTGAGTGTTGTTGACATCTGTGCAGAGTGCGGTTGCCCACTGCGCACAAAGAGGTGTTAGGGAGAGAGCAAATTTTAATGGAAGGGATCTGGGGTTAAAATAATCCTTTTGGTCATCGTGCAACCTCATAAATTACTGCCACAGCAGAGGGGCTGGTGCAGTCAAAAGCAAAAGGTGCTTTGGGCCACAGCTTTACCTTCCCCTGTCAGCTTGATTTCCTAAAGGAAAAGGCTAATGTGGCCCCATACACTTGTGTTTATGTACCCCCCCTTCATCCCCAAAGATATTTGACCCCATGGGCCACTTTGGTCAGATTTGACAAGGGGTGAGATCTCCAAAGAAAAGCTGTTCTCTGTTCTGGGAAGAGAGGAGACATGACAGGGAAGAGGTCCCAAAAGGAGGGGACACCGCCGTGTGAGCTGACTCTATCAGACACCAGGGAAGGAGCACACCTAGTTGTCACTACCCTGGGCGAAGCTTCAGTCAGATCTTGCAATCAACCATGGGACACAAATGAGTCACGTATTTCTGTCTCTCTGGTGCAGGGGCTGCAGTATATAAAATCACTAAGTCACAGGAGTTGCATTTGATGGATTTAGCAAGGCTGTGTATGGCAACATGGGAGTTAAAAGCCAGGTAGGATTGGCACGGAATTGCCTGCTACGCTCAGTCAAGGGCAAGTTGAGACTGATAACAATAAAGCAGGGATGCAACCAATGCCTCTTTTATTGCTTCATATCCTCATTTTAATGGGAAGGCTATAATTAAGGGAATTTCAGCTCCAAGCTATGACCTCACTGGTTGATACTCGCATCAGATGTTTCCTTAAAAATACCTCATCAGAAATCAGGGAGTCTCCTTAGCAGCTCATCTTCTAACAATGCAGTTCCTCCTGAAATACTGGTTTCCAGGCCAACAAACTTGACTAGAATCCAGGGGACAGAGCAAGACAACTTTGCATGCAAATAACCTCTTTAGCAGCATCAAAAGGCTTTTCTTTCCCCTGCTCTTCTCTGCTCTTCTCTTCTGGTCTGGAAAAAATGATGGAAAAATACTGGGTATCAATTGTCCCGTGTTACAAATAATGGTGGAAGTATCCTGGTGGAAACTTTTGCCCTTGGATGTCTGCTAGGCGCAGTTCCTGTGGAAATTTTCAGAACAGGGTTGCAATATTGTGCTATGGCTTTATATAGTTTGAGGGCTCCAAGGAGCTCTTTGCTTCTTCAAAGAGAGGGTAAATCCTCTTTCTGACAGTGACCTGACTGTGTAGGGGTTAAGGGAATTGCCTGGTGTTCAGATGATTGCAGCACTACGTGAAAGGATGCTCCAAGCTTGAAAGACTGGACTTCGTTGAGCAGACAGCTTTTAATTCAGCCTATCTTGAGGTCACCCATGTCTGCAGTGGCTGAGGCTGTCATTTCGTACTACAAGAGTTTAGACACCACCACCAACACGGAGAGTTCCCAAGCCCGTCACACCCATGGTGGGTTCCCACACTTGCTGTCCTGCCCTCCTTGTGCCAGTGCACGTACCTGTGGGTCTGTGCTATGGAGCAGCTGAGTAATCCAGGGTCATTATGCCATAAAAAACACACCAACTCCTTTCTCCCAAGGTTGTTAGATTTTTTTTAATTTTTTTTTTTTTATCCAGGTCACTGTGGCCCCATAAACCATGTACGTTTGTAGGAGTGGTAGGTTGGTAATGGATAGGAGGTAGATGGTCAGCGGGCATCAGAGCAGCAGTGGGTGCCATGAGGTGAAGAGATATGTTATCAGCAGATCGTTTGTTTGCAGACTCGTATCTGCCAGGTGTTTGCATCAGAACTCTAAATCAAGCAAAACTAGATGTGAAAGCACTCCTGGCTTGCAGAATGGGTCACAGAAAGGGTCATTTCCTTATGCTTTTGAAAGAATAAAACAATCATTAATGAAGTGTTCTTCCCATTGGTGAAGTGCCTTTAATCTGAAGATGTAAACATATTTAGAAACATTAGGAACAAGAAAGATGTGGGCCTGTATCTTTGATGCTGGTCCCTTAGGGCTGGTTTTCCAAAATTCAGTCTTGGACGCTGATACTCAAAGCAAGTATTGCTTCTGACTCCAGGTGAGACCATGCAGCCTGTGAGCTCTTGGCACTTCTTAGGGCTCGTGTTAGTACTGGGGTGTCCACGAGACAGCAGCTAAAGTTAGTTAAAAAATCGTGATGGAGGAAAGGTTGAAAACCAAACCACCTGCCTAATATCAGTGGCTGAGTCAGGAAGAAAGTCCTCTCTGCCATTCCCCATTGCAGAACCATGTTGAAATCAGTAAACATTGGGCAACTTTCAGCCATCAGGCAAATAGTCCTCCACAGCAGTATGTTACACACAAAGCTGCAGGCACATCATGTATCCCGTGACTCAAAGCACATGGGAAAGATCAACAGAGCTGCCTGGTCATGGTGTGAAGTTCACTTCCAATTTGATGTGAAGAATCATTGCATTTTTATTTCTCTTAAGCTAGGAAGCTGTTCCCATGAGGAAACCTTGGGAAGAAGCTATGAAAGGGAACATCAGTTACAGTATTTTGCCTAGAGCTGATGAAGCATAGGTGCTCCCACTCCCATAGATCCACATCAGTTTTTTCACCCTAATTCCTCACCTCCCAGAAAGTCTTTTTGCCTCAGTTCCTGCTGCTCCTTCTGCAGTCAACAACCACGGCTGCTCAGATGCTTTTAACGCAAACCT